GCATTAAATTTTCAGATCTTCACCATCGGCAGAGACCGAATAAACTAGCTTTCATCACATATCAAGCCCTCCTCCGCCAAGCGAAACATCGACAAAAGGTAGAAGTCAACAGAAAAGAAAGGGGATACTCTTCCGCATGACTTCTTGCCGCGGCTCCTTCTCCATTTCACGCCAGAGTGAGCACCACCGCCTTTGTCGTGTGGTGTCTCTCGTTGATGGTCAAAGTGTTTACAACTCCTGACAGGTAGACTGAACTTGAAACGCCCCGTGAACTTTGGCCTCGGGGTGTCTAGTCGTCCAGAAAGAAAGGCAGTTTTGACCCCGACTCGCATCCATTGATCTTAGTCGGATTTCCGCACAGCTTGTGCAAAACATGAAGCTAAAATGTTCGCCCAAATTGATACAAACCCTTCTAATATATAACGTGTAGTGGGTATTTCTTGGCAAAATAGGATATGTGTTTCCATTTTCGACGAGGTCTATCAAGCATATATGGAAAATTGCATAATGAGACAGTACTATTTCGAGAAATTATGGCTCTTCAACTTGGATGATAATAACATTTGGGAATATTTAACTATTAAATCCGATTCAGGGTGAATACGGCTTTTATTCAAAATTATTTCAAACTTGTTGCGACGATTTCTCTGATTTGTGAACGTTTATGGCAAGCAAGAAGAGGTGCCGGCTATCTTTGACTCGTCAAAATCCTGAAAGTTAAGCGGATAGCCATCAGAATCAAGGCAGAATGGATGGTAGATTTGTCTCAAAAACAGGATAACACCACTGATTTTTACCCCAGAGGGAATGATTATTTGGGATAGATACCATTTAGGTCAACTGCAAAAGTTGTGAGTGGGGCATTTCGCTGAGATGTATTGGTTATCACACCCGGTGCTAGCCCATTCTTTCATCCATTTGGCAATATTCCCTCCCCTCGCGCCTATAAATGAAGCAAGGGTTGTAAAGAAAATGCTTTAAACGCCCATGATACAATTGTTTTATGTCTCCGATTTCACAATCTCCGGTTAAATTAAATGTAAAGAAAATCAAAAATAAAATTTCCCATCAACTATTCTGTTTGACCTCCAAAGGGATCACATCACTAATAAAGTATGATTGGCCCTACTTGATCGCAGATACAAAAACCAAGATGAAATCGCCTTACACTTTAAAAGTTGTCTTGAGCTTGTTATGCAGATGGGCTGGGCTCAAGAAAAGGCTGAAGAAATTCGGTCGCCATAACCCCTTAGTTTAGTAGCAGCAGCGGTTAAATTATAGCATATTCATGAAATTAAGATTATTCGTAGCTGGCATCGTAATCGAGGATAGACAAGCTTTGAACTAAAAGGCAGTTTGAGTGTAGACACTTGGAAATTCCATCCAGAATAAAATATTTGTAAACTGGGAAATGGGTGAAATGGCAGCCATGGAAATTCATCAGATGTAGCTAAGTGGAGCGTTCAGGATGTAACCGGAATTCCCAGTCAATGGGGCTATGAAGCGAGTACTACAATAAGCCAACTAAATTGTCTGAACACATCGGGACTGTCGTAAGAAATGAGTAAGCCGATTCGACAACATAAAGTAGTACAAAGGCGTCGGAAAGGTTACATTAAAATGGAGGTCGGAGTACAATGAAAGCGCATTTGATTGACGTGACTTTGATTATTTACAATGCGGCATCATATGCCGCAGATAGAGCACATCAAAATGGTCCGATGTTTGAAGGTTACATGAGGATGACATATCATTTGGTCTTTTATCCCAAAGGAAGGTTGGTTAAAAAGGAGTCATAAATTGACTTAAGGAGTGGTAAATATTGATTTGGGCTTTTCTTTTTATGTACAGAACAACAAAGTCTTGTAATGCCGTGAGGCTTATTTTTTTTGCCACGTTAGAGTCAAAATAGAGCGTATTCATAATAAATAGAGTTCACCACTTTTTGCGAACTAGGATGAATAACACTCTTATGAAAAATAGCTCATTTGTGGGGTCTAATCAATGACCATTGCTAACTTCAGCGCCTGAATATTAACCTATAATTTTATGGAATAAAGCTGGAACTTACGTTACTCTATTGACTACGTTGCAACATGGTCATGACATTCTGAGTAGACGGCGATTCTAAACGTTCAGCACTTTTTCTCTGTACCAATAGACTGGAAATCTGGTGTATGTTTATTACAAATCTTTTTATGATTTTAGCTAAACATTAGAAATTCACACACATAATTCCGAGACCACACCAGAGGCCACAACATCTTGGTCTTCATATATTCAATTAGAAATTACATTACAAAGTTAGTAAAAAGGGCTTGATCATGACCATACGAAATTAGAATGAAGAGGAAAGCGAAGGACTAAACGGTATGAAATTAGTGCAAAGTAAATACTAGGCGACATATTCATGGTCACGCATTCTAGTCACAAACTTGTTCATAACTTTCTATATTAACCATGACAATCGTCAAGATTGACTATGAAATAAATTGCCCAAATGTAACAAATATATTCTTGTATGAGTGCTTACTATCAAAGGATTTAACATATCAGTAGCCGTTAAACATACACTTCTCCTCTTCACTTATCATATCACTTTTTACATTATATTTTATTATTTACTATTATTTTGGGCTTATTTTTGTTTCGTGAC